AGCTAGATTCGGTTTGAAATTCCTTAAGCACCTTCCTGTTCAATTTCCTTCTCTTCCCATATTTTCTATTAAAGATGTATTTGGTTTTAAGAAAAAAAAATGAAAGAGAGAAAAGTTAAGGGAAATTTCGTAAAGTTCACAAAATTCCCTGACGCTGTGTTCTATTCGATAGAAAATACCAGAGAAACAACAAGTTGAATGAAGAAAGTTTATTATATTATAAAATTTGTGAAATTCTTGAGAGCTTTCTTCAAAATCCCTCTTCCTCTCTTATTTTCAGATATGTAAGTTTAATGATAAAAACATCAAAATTCGAAAGGAACAACATGTCGCAAGGATTTCGAGCTAAAATTTAGTAGCAAGAGGAACTTGTCGTGGCAATCATATTTCCGTACATATGGAAAATTAAGGCTGTGTTTGGTTGCGGTGCAAATTTATTTGAATGCAAATTCTTGTTTAATTTTGTTCTGGATTTTACTTTATTCTGCTTCATGTCTTAGATTAATTTATTTGTACTGCAATCAAATAAAATAAGCTAAAATTTAAAACAAAAATAGGTTAGAATTTATACTCATATCATTTGCATTGTCATGGTTTTGCATCACTACAAATTTATTTGCATTGTAACCAAAAACAGCCTAAGGTTCAACTCTCATTCTTGCTCATTAGTTTCAATAATAAAATTCTAAAATGAATAAAAATGAGTAGAATAAAAAAATATTGTTATGAACCAAATTATTCTTCGCTTACAGTCATAAACCACTAGCACAGATTGGCACAAGTTTTCACGAAAGTTGATTGTCCACTATCTGTCAATAAAAATCTATGCTGGCAATTTGAAGACATAGACCAGCGGTTTATGACTGCCCGCACAAAGCTTCTTTGAAGAATTAAATGAGCAACATGGGGCACAATTATTTTCTGTGCTGCAAGTTACTTCAATTTTTGTATACTCAGTTCATTTTTCAGAATTCGGCTTCGGTCAGGGCAAAGCCCATCGAGCAGTTTTTTACAACCTTGCATTGAGAATATCTCCTTACTTATGTACTTTATTTTATGGGGAGATATTCCCAATACAAGGTCGCAAAAGACGATTGGAATGGTGTGGGGCATGGGCTTGCCTTGGCGAAAGCTGATCTCCATTTTTCATTCTAAAAAGAATGACACCCATGATAAGAATTTTGCAACCAAATGGTCTCATGCTATTCATTGTTGCCTAAAATAAGAATTGAAAGAATGAAGCTTGTAACAGTGAATCAAACATGGTCTAAATTCCTGATTTGCTTGAAACTTGGACTTTTTCTCTAAAAAGCCATAGAATCTATGGTTTTTGAATCATCATTAACCTAGATGGCCGGACCATTTGGCCTGGAAACCATCCAAGCAATCAGTTCTGTTTTACCCCAAACCTGGTCCCTGGCCAAAAACCATTGAATCGGTCAATGACCCATTAACCTGAACAGTCGGATCGTTCACCCGTTTAATGAATTTTGTTTTTTTTTTTTTTAATTTGTAACGTAAGAACGAACTGTCCGTTCAAACTGTTGGCCCACAACCAGTGGCCAAAATGATTCCGTTTTTGAATCCATGAAAAAATCCCATCCGATCATAGCTTCTTTTAAATTCCAATTCAAATACTTATTATTCAAAATATTAGTAACATATAGTAAAAATAAAGAGTGATTCTAACAACTACCAAGTGCATAACACATGCCACAAATAAGACACTTTTATAGCAATCAACTCAAGTGCATTGTTTCTTTTTCCTTTTTTAATTTTTTACTAAGTCCATTGATTTATCCTCAAGATTAGGGGTGGTGAAAAAAAATAAAAAAATGGGAAGCAATCAAATATTTAAAACCTGTCCAAGCCGCCAAGTCCTTCCACATTCAAGGTTAGGGGGTTTTAAATTAGCCAAACACTTATTTTATTTCTCAAAACAAAAACAACCGCTACTCTATACAAGCAAAAATAAGTTCGGTCAAGTTTGTTTAATAACAATAATTGTTAGGATTTGATTATGATACCGAAAAATCTACATCTAATCAACCAATATAATTAAAAGTGTTATTTATCAAAATTCACGGGAAGCCATGTTGGTGCTGGTCATTTAGCTCTTTCATTCTTTCATTCCCACAACTAGGGACTAGGTAAACCTATCAAAGTAATTTAGTTTTTAATACAACATATATGTGCAAATTAATCAGGAGGCTGAGAGAAAATTTTTGACAAATTTTCCTCATTTCAAGAAATTTTATTTTGCGAGTTCGATTATGATATTAAAAAAAAATTTATAACCAATCAACCTATATCATAAAATGGTAACCAAACAGGTGGTATTTGTCAAAATCCACAAATGTCTCTATTGATGTCTCTATTGATGTTTTGCATCCCGGTTCGATTTTGCATACATTTGATATACATGTAATTTTACACCCAAAATCGATGTAAAATTGCACTCAAAAAAAACTACCAAAAATCATTAAACGATTTTTGACCAAAAAACAATTCTGGAATAAAACGAAAATGGTCCGGTTTGGTTTTGAAAGCATTGCAAATAGATTTGTACCACGTACGCCGCCCTAAAAATAAAAATAGCCCACCTCTCACAGGTCACAGCTGTTTGATAATGCCAATTAATTGCTAAATCTTCAAGTCTCACCAGTCACCACCAAGGCACCAACCAAGAGCAGTCCAATAAATGTAAATGTACATATTAGTCACCTCCGGATAAAGTTTAAAATATCAATATGCACATTTCAATTTAGTAATTGACAAATAAGCTACTGAGGTTGATTTCTAACATTTACAACCTCCAATTTCTCAGGCGCCATTGCATACGGTTGAAGTCGTTGAATTCGAGGACGACGACTTATTTTTCAGTTGATAAAATAACTAAATAATAAAATTTTCTGATCTACCGTCTTCGTTTCTGTAATCAAAGAAGCTATAAACTCTATAAAAAGTATATAAGTAATAAAAATGTTCAACATCACCAGCTGTGATCAAACGGCATCTTAATATATTTGAGTATCGATGTCCTAATACCAATATAATACGTACATATATATACAATGTGATACATGCATACGTACATAAATATCAAAGTTTCCATTAGGTTATCACAAATTACCCTAAATATAAAAAAATATTGGGTCTAAAATTTCAGAATATTCATATTCCAGCCATGTACTTCACCCAAAACTATGGATTTAATATTAAAATTAATGAAAAATATCATAAATAATTAAAATGAAATTCAAAAATTTTAATTCGACTCCTCGGCCTGAAGTTTCCAAAATTTTTCAGCAAACTACAAGGCTATAGAATTTCATTATCTAGTTTGTGTTGATATCTTTTTCATGGTATTTGAAAATCCCAAGAGAGAAAAGAATATCCGGTTTCTGGACCAATTGAATTATATTATATTTTGTTTTATTTCTAAATTCTAAAACTTAAGATTAGTTTAATTTGCAGTCAGAATGGGAATTAAAATCCATTGGAATCAGATTCGAAATATTCTATTCTTATAATGTGTTTGGTTTCATACAAGAATTGGAGTGGGAATTAAAATTAGGTTGGAATGGAATTTCATTTCCAAAGTAGGGGAGAGAATGGTCATTTCATCATTCGAGGCATTCTAATCAAATGGGCCTTTATATTTTAGAATAGTAAAAAGCCAAATAAATGTATTAATTGTAAGTAACTTGTAAGCTGGTAACTGTATAGCTAGCTATAAGGTATGACTTTCTACTATGCCACGTGGGGGGATGATTTTTTTTTCTTTTGTGTATGAAAAGAATATTATGTTCCTTGTTGGAATCGATCGTGGAATCCTCTAGCCCAGAGGCCAGAACCGATCCATGTTCACTTTTACTTAGAGAGATGACGTGGGCTTTGGGTGGCATTACGTCAATACCTTTGGCTAGCATGAATCCTCTAGCTCCTCTCACAGACAGGCTCACACTGACCTTACGGTCACAGTCAGTTATATTTCATCGTGCATTGGGAACATCTCCTCTCCTCTCCCGTAAGTTTAAGTTTAAGAGAATGGAATTACAGGCGCATCTCGAAAGCTGGGGGCCACGTATCCTTTCCTTCACCCCCAATACTTAGGAAAATGGGTTCCACTTTGATATGAAAGAGATGTGGTATCTGAAAAACTTCTACTGGATGTATAAACATCCCTTCTTTTCTCCTTGTCACCCAGGAATGGGTGCTAGGCATGATATCGAGAAAACTAATAACCAATCACGTGAATTTTCATCAAAACTGACCCGCGGCCCGCGGCCCGCGGGGGATTGTGATTGGTCAAATCTCTATGTGGTATCATGTGTTTCCCGCATCATAGATTTCCCCATTGGAAAAGGGACATGCTATCTATATTTTGGACGATAATGTGACAAATTTTGTCTTAGCCAGACAAGGTCAGTCAAGCCATAGCCATGGAAGCATCAAGCATGGATGTCTCATGTCTGAGACTCTGAGGTTCAGGGCCTTCAGGAATCAGGCTAGGCTAGGCTAGGCTAGGCTCACTGGTCACCCGATAACCCACCCAATGAGGCAATCAGACTCAGAATAGTACGAGTAACACATCATATGATCTTGTAATTCTACCACCTGGCAGTAGCAGGTTTGGGGGAGTGGAATGATCTCTTACACATATACCTTGTTTTGCAATGGGCCATCTGGTCAATGCCTAACAAATACTTTCTGTGCCATCAAGAGCAACTGAACATGATCAATTATATATTTATTTATGTCTAATTTTCTACATTGAAGTTTGAACTTTGAACTTAACCAAGTGGCAAAACAAAGAAAAAATTAAAAAAAAAAAAAAAAAAAGAAAAAGAAGGGTAAAACAAATTTGAATTCTACATTCTACCAACTTTTGGGAAAAAAAAAAAGGTATCTGTCCCTTTGACTAAATGCTATTTGAATAATAATTAAATCCATCTACTCGTGCTTGCGCCTCAAGCATAACTTTCTAGTGCACCGAATATATAACACCTTGGATCATTAAATGAATACCCTTGAGCCGATTAACAGAAAAAGCACAGAATCCTCTGAACCCAGATCACACAGGTCTGAATTTTCTGACCACCCTTTTTCATTCTCCGGTGAGTTCACTTTCAGCTCTTGTTCCTTCTTTTATCCTTCCAAAATAGCTTCTGAGTTTTATAGCGTTCTGCACTTGATTGGTTTTTAGGCGATGTTTGATGTGGATTGCCACCTCTAACGCTGAAAATGCAGAGCCTTGTTAGTCATATGTTCTCAGTTTTCTTGTTTTTCCGTTGAAAAGGATCAAGGTTCAATTTTCTTTGTTCCCTGTATTTGAAATTACATAGCATTCCATTTTCTGTATTGTACGAGTTTGTGAATCTTGGATTAGTTTCCTGCTTCTCTGTATGCTACAAATTTTGTTTTCTTTTTCTATGTGCTTTTGTTTTAAGATTCACTGACAAATCATGAGCTCCTCTCTCTCTCTATAAATTCTTATTCTGTTTCCTTTTTACCCTTTTTGAGCTGAGAACTTTCGGATTTTAGTGGGTTTCTGGTTCTTTCCATATCTGTTTTGAATGACCTTGTTCCTGAAATTTTTAGAACTAACCACCTTTGTTTAAGCATTTTCCTACTGCTCCATTTGCGTTCTTTATTTAGTTAAACTAGATATGGGCCATCAGTTGTTTGCAATAGAAACAGGGATTGTACATTCTAGTAGATCCTTTTGAACTCATCTGTGGTCAATTTACTAAATACATAGCTTAAGATATCACAATCCGGTAAAATTCATTTCTTTTTTTTATTTTTTAATTTGGAAATTGCCAAATACTAGTATTCGATCTGTTGACCTCTGATAATCTTCAATTATAATTATATTTGCCTAGTTAATCGCTTTTGTAGATTTGGTTATAACTTGGTGATTTCCTTCATTTTTGTTGTGTTAATTTCTTGCAGCTATTATTCAAGTGCAAAATTCGTGGCGGATAGTATCATTGCCAATCATAGATTGGCAAAAATGGCCGAGGAGAATGGCTTGAATGGAGAAATAAGCACCCACAAGGCCACTGCATCAACAAGCCATTCACCAGTAACAGAGACAGATAGAAAGAATGACCAAGGGAAGACCAATGGCCAACATGATCCAGAAAAGAACAAGGGAGGAGATGAGGCCACTAATACTGTTCCATATTACAAGCTCTTTGCCTTTGCGGATTCCAAAGATGTTGTGTTGATGGTCATTGGCACAATTGGAGCTCTTGGAAATGGAACCTCCTTGCCCCTTATGACTGTACTTTTTGGGGAGCTGGTTGATTCTTTTGGACAAAATGCAAACAACAACAATGTAGTTCATGTAGTCTCCAAGGTATATATCTGGTTCCATTCACATAATATCAATGAGGACATGTCTAAAGTACATGATTGAATTTGAGCTTATTTGAAACTAAAGATGTGGAAAACATGTCACTGGAAATTTGATTTTCTTTTTCTAATGGTCTGTAAATCTCAAAATAGAGACAAACTTAATTACTCGTACAATTCTATCTGAATGTCTTCAGGTATCCTTAAAATTTGTTTATTTGGCCATGGGCGCTGGCATTGCATCATTATTCCGTATGTAAATCAAGTTCTATGCTGCCTCAGTACTTGACTGTCCTTACTATAATTATAGAGAGTTTTCACTGTTAGAAACTAAAGCCATGTCTGTTATCTTTGTCAGAGGTGGCTTGTTGGATGGTTGCAGGAGAAAGGCAAGCATCACGAATAAGGAATCTGTATTTGAAAACTATATTGAGACAAGATATAGGCTTCTTCGACAAAGAAACTAACACGGGAGAAGTTATTGGGAGGATGTCAGGTGACACTGTCCTTATTCAAGATGCCATGGGTGAGAAGGTAATGCTTCTACCTTGACAAACACAATATCATGATTACTATCATTCATATTACACATAAAGCTTAACAATTCAAGAGACCTCTGTTATGTGTATATTTTTTAGGTTGGCAAATTTATACAGCTGACAGCAACGTTCATAAGTGGCTTTATAGTAGCTTTCATTAAAGGGTGGCTTCTTACCCTTGTTATGGTGGCAACTATTCCTGCTCTTGTGATCTCTGGTGCAGCCATGTCCATCGTAATATCTAAGATGGCATCTCGTGGACAAACTGCTTACTCACAAGCATCGGTTGTGGTGGAACAAACAATTGGGTCAATCAGGACAGTATGTAATCTTGCCTAAATTGAAGATGTCCATGCAATATTGGACATTGTTTTGAAGTGAGAAGCTGAGTTTCTACCTTGTTATTTCAAGGGATATTTAATTACCAAGGTGGTTCTTGTACAGGTTGCATCATTTACTGGAGAGAAGCAAGCTATAGCCAAGTATGATAAATCTCTAAATAGTGCATACAAATCTGGTGTCCATGAAGGCTTGGCTGCTGGAATAGGTCTTGGTGCGGTTATGTTTATCGTATTCTGTAGTTATGCTTTGGCCATATGGTATGGCGCAAAGCTGATACTCGATAAAGGATATACAGGTGGTAATGTCATAAACATAATTATTGCTGTCCTATCTGGCTCTCTGTAAGTTCCACATTGCTTCTTCATTTTTTCATTTTATTTTCGTCCTGATCAAATTATTAATCCTTCCATATTGAAAAAAGAAGTAAGATATCTTCCAGCAGCTTCTTCTGGTAAATAAGATATCTTCCAGTAGTTGCTTGCATCAAATTGCATGAGTATTCATACTTAGTACTTATATATGATTTTACATCTTTCCTTTGTGCATTGGGATTTGTATATATTGGTTAATCTTTCTGTGTGATGCTGGATTATTTAGATCTCTAGGTCAGGCATCTCCATGTCTGGCTGCTTTTGCTGCTGGACAAGCTGCTGCATTTAAAATGTTTGAGACAATCAATAGGAAACCAGACATAGATTCATATGACACTAATGGGCGTACATTAGATGATCTTCATGGAGATATTGAATTAAGGGATGTTTGCTTCAGTTATCCGGCTAGACCAGATGAGCAAATATTCAATGGATTCTCTCTGTTCATACCTAGTGGTATGACTGCAGCTTTGGTTGGGCAGAGTGGAAGTGGGAAATCCACAGTGATCAGTTTGATAGAGAGATTTTATGATCCACAAGCTGGTGAAGTTCTTATAGATGGTATAAATCTGAAGGAGTTTCAGCTAAGATGGATTAGAAAGAAAATCGGGCTCGTGAGCCAGGAACCTGTTCTATTTGCTTCCAGCATTAAAGATAATATTGCCTATGGGAAGGATGGTGCAACTATGGAAGAAATCAAAGCAGCGGCTGAACTTGCAAATGCAGCCAAATTCATAGACAAACTGCCTCAGGTTCTAAATTTTTGCACTTCCAATCTTTTGTGTACCTTTATTTGTTCTTTAATGTCATTACATTACATTACATGTACTTTTCTCCCTCTCCATAAAATGCCACAAGTTCATCCTTACCATTTAAACCAAGAAGGAAAAAATAGAAGAACAATGAAAAGGAAAGAAAGAACAAAAAGTTCAGATGCTTTACACAACATCCATTTGAGAAGTAAACTATCCTCTTATAGTAATAGTCTAGAAAATTCCAGTAGTTATTGTCTTTCTTATTATCATTAGTTATTGTAACTGATTCGATCTTGGAGAAAAATGGATTTATACTCTCTTTAATCATATATGATAAGTTAAAAAATAAGAAAAAAAATCATGAATAGAAACACAGCCAAAAGAGCAATACTTTGACAAATAATTTCAGTTGGAGAATCCACTCACTTTACTTTTTCACTCCTTCCATTTTCTAAGGCAGAACATTTCCAAAATTCCCCTTTTACATTAATAGGTTTTACTAAAGTCCAATTGGAGTTGTTGTTGTTGTTGTTGTTGTTATACAGGTAACTTGACCAACTTCATAATTTTGCCCAATTCAACCTTACCACAACTGAATTATATTTCCCTGTTGAAACTCCTGTGAAACCTCTGCGAATGGAGATACTTTCTCAAAATTTTCTATTAGTGGAACTTGTTCTGTGAATGTAACCCAAGGACAATTAAGATGTCATAAACCCTAGAATTTTTTAGATACAGAAATCCCCTTTTAAGTTGTTAATGTAGATCCTCTACTGGTGCTCCAAGGGCATCAACATGAATTAATATGACAAAGTTATACCTGTTTTATGTAGATTACATGTTGCATGTCCTGTTGCAGCCCTGTAATTTCACATGAACATAAAATACCGCATGCTTTCCCTCTATAAAAAATCTACATTGTTAATTGTTTTAATTTCATAGTTGATTAAGAGAAGTGAGTTGTTATTTGCCTCTCTGATATATAATTCATTTATTGTATTTAGGGACTAGACACCTTGGTTGGTGAGCATGGAACTCAGTTGTCTGGGGGACAGAAGCAAAGGGTTGCCATAGCTAGAGCAATTCTAAAAGACCCGCGTATTCTACTTCTAGATGAAGCTACAAGTGCACTTGATGCAGAGTCTGAGCGGATTGTGCAAGAGGCACTTGACAGGGTAATGGTAAACCGAACTACTGTTATTGTCGCCCATCGCTTAAGCACAGTGAGGAATGCTGATATGATTGCTGTTATTCACCGAGGAAAGATTGTTGAAAAAGGTAAAAACCTTGGGCTAATAGTCAGAGAAACTACTGTGCTACAAAAGCCATGAGTACTACTTTGATACTGCTTCTTCCTTGAGCTTGGGAACAACTCTCTCTCTCTCTCTCTCAGTTCCCTCATTCTGCATGTGAGTCAGAGAAGTATGTACAGTAACTTATTGTCCTTTCTTGTTTACCAGGTTCACATACTGAACTACTCAAAAATAGTGATGGAGCCTACTGCCAGCTTATACGGTTGCAAGAAATGAACCAAGAGTCAGAACATAATGCCATCAATGATCAAGACAAACCAGAGCTTACAGTGGAATCGGGAAGGCATTCAAGCCAACGCATGTCTTTATTAAGATCCATAAGTCGTGGATCATCTGGAATTGGAAATAGCAGCCGGCATTCATTCTCAGTCTCATTTGGCTTACCTACAGGGCTCAACATCCAGGAAACCATGTCAGAAAAATCTAATACCCTTCCTGAAGAACCACCGAAACAGCCCAAAGAAGTCTCAATCCGCCGCCTTGCACATCTCAACAAACCAGAGATCCCGGTGATGTTACTTGGTGTTTTGTCTGCAATCGTCAATGGCTCTATATTTCCAGTTTTTGGTATATTAATTTCCAGTATAATCAAAACCTTCTATGAGCCACCAAGTGAGCTTCGTAAGGATTCACGATTTTGGGCTTTGATGTTTGTTGTCCTTGGGCTGGCTTCATTAGTGGCATCTCCTGCACGAACATACTTTTTTTCCGTGGCTGGGTGTAGGTTAATAAGACGGATACGGTCAATGTGCTTTGAAAAGGTGATTCACATGGAGGTTGGTTGGTTTGATAATCCTCAGAACTCGAGTGGTGCAATTGGTGCAAGGCTATCTGCAGATGCAGCAACTGTCCGCAGCCTGGTTGGTGATGCACTGGCTCTGCTTGTTCAGAACACTGCAACAGCAATTGCTGGTTTGGTTATTGCTTTCCAAGCAAGCTGGCAGCTGGCTCTTATAATCCTTGTTTTGATTCCTCTGATAGGAATTAGTGGATGGGCTCAGATGAAATTTATGAAAGGATTCAGTTCAGATGCAAAGGTCTGAAGTTAAACTCATATAGATTTATTTTTTGTTTAATTGCTAATGCATGCAGATTAAGAGTGCGCTTTTTAAGTGAAAACAGAGGAAAGACAACCATAAAAGCTGTAGTTTATAATATTTGCTCCTGTTTTTTTTTTTTTTTTTTTCTTTTCACAAAGCAAACGATCTATTTATTTAGTTATGGATACATTATTGTTTGATCACATTTCAAGCTAAAGTATTTAAAATTGTCTTTAGCAAGGGATACTCAAATTTTATGATACTTCTTAAGACTTGAGCCCTCTTACTGGTTCCAAGATTTTGTTACTCTTATTACTAACTTTTAGACATCATCTAGCCCACATATGTTTAGTTGTTTCCACTTTCTAGTATGTGGAAAATAAAAATCTACTCTTGTTACACCTGAAATCTAAATGTAACTATTTGATGTTTCTATCAAACAAATCACATTAGCATGTGACCAAGACAAAAACTCTCATGGTTGCAGATGATGTATGAGGAAGCATGCCAAGTGGCTAATGATGCGGTTGGGAGTATTAGAACGGTTTCTTCTTTTTGTGCAGAGGAGAAAGTGATGCAATTATACAAAAAGAAATGTGAAGGCCCTATGAAGGCAGGAATAAGACAAGGGTTAATTAGTGGAGTTGGTTTTGGGCTGTCAAATTTCTTGCTGTTCTGTGTATATGCAACCAGTTTCTATGCTGGAGCCCGACTTGTTGAGGATGGAAAGACAACTTTCACCAAGGTTTTTCGTGTAAGTATTCATTTCATCTCATGCGAATCTTCTCAAGATATTCTGGCCTTCATATTGAATATAACAATTTGTTGTGCTTCCAAAATTTAAGATTCAACATACTTGCTGGTATTTGGCAGGTATTTTTTGCTCTTACAATGGCAGCTATTGGAATTTCTCAATCCAGTGGTTTTGCACCTGATGCTAGCAAGGCCAAGACTTCCACTGCCTCAATATTTGCAATTCTGGATAGGAAATCAAAGATAGATCCAAGTGATGAGTCTGGGATGACATTAGACAACATAAAGGGAGAAATAAAGTTTCAGCATGTCAGCTTTAAGTATCCTACCAGGCCTGATATTCAAATTCTCCGAGATCTGTGCTTGGCAATTAATTCTGGGAAGGTAATTCTTATTGGCATTTCATGCTTTGTGTTTCTTCTATAATCTTTTAAAAGGAGGTCTTATTTACAACTTGTTAGAAGCTAGCTGCAATACAATCAATTCTACTGCATGATTGGCATGACCAACATGCAAAACTAATGAACTGGATTGTCTAATTTTTCAGACAGTTGCTTTGGTTGGAGAAAGTGGGAGTGGGAAATCAACAGTTATCTCGTTGTTGCAGAGGTTTTACGACCCTGATTCAGGTGACATTACACTAGATGGGGTTGATATTCAAAGGTTTCAGTTGAAGTGGCTGAGGCAGCAGATGGGTCTAGTGAGCCAAGAACCTGTCTTGTTCAATGACACCATCAGAGCCAACATAGCATATGGAAAGGAAGGAAATGCAACAGAGGCTGAAATTTTAGGTGCAGCCGAGTTGGCAAATGCCCACAAGTTTATCAGTGGGTTGCAACAGGTTTGAACACTGCAACCAAACCAAGCTCTCTTCCCTCTCTTCAAGTCAATTCAATTTAGGTATATGAAATATGAATCTCGTTTAAACTTTAATGAATGAATAAAACCATGGCAGGGGTATGATACCATGGTAGGGGAACGAGGCGTCCAATTGTCAGGTGGTCAGAAGCAAAGGGTCGCAATTGCACGGGCTATAGTAAAGGGACCAAAGATTTTACTACTTGATGAAGCGACAAGCGCGCTGGATGCCGAGTCAGAACGAGTGGTACAGGATGCATTGGACCGAGTTATGGTGAACAGGACGACGATTGTGGTGGCCCACCGGTTGTCTACCATTAAAGGTGCAGACCTAATAGCAGTTGTTAAAAATGGGGTAATCGTAGAGAAAGGAAAGCATGAAAAATTAATAAACATCAAGGATGGTGCCTATGCTTCTTTAGTTGCGCTTCACACGAGTGCCAATGCCTCCTCTTAGTCTAGTCTTCAGATTCTGGGTACAGAGAGAGAGAGAACGAGATGCTCTCCTTTTTTTTTTTCTCTTTTTTGTATTCCTTTCTGGAGCCCCCAATTGAATTTCTGATAAATCAATGCTAATTAAATAGTAAATACACAGAGAAAGAACAGAATAGGCGTGGACCGTGGAGAGTTTCTAATTCTTCGCCTTCTCATAGCCACTCCATTTGCAAATTAATTCAATGAGCTGAGTTTTCAGTTGAAATATATATTTCTTTCACTACCTCTTCTTCTGGGTCGGTTGATCGAGGACTCTGTGGTGTGGGTAGGAGTAGGGGTCTCCATCACTCGATCACCGACAGTTAGGAGCTGTGGAGATGACAATATTAATAGTCTATTACTTTAGTCTTGGGGACAGTTTGATGACGGCTGAATTCCAAGTCGCTGGATTGAATGAATATTAATTGCAGTTTGCTTTATCAAATTTAGTTGATATAAATAATGGGTAAAAGTATTAAAACTGTCTTGACATTTCTGCTAAATACGGAAGCCTCCCCTCGGTTTTCAGATTGGTCGGCAGGTCGGGTGTTGTTGTCAGACAAAAAGACCTCCCCTCCATTATTATTATTATTATTATTATTATTATTATTGTATATTGTTGAAAAATCCAATGTTGCCACTTATGATATTTTGGCCATGACTAATGCCTAATGACCCAAAATCTTTGAAATAAAAAAATCATGATTTTTAAAAACGATCCGGTGACCAAATTGGTCAGGGGTCTGGTTATCGGTTTTGATAAAAAATAAAAAATTTAAAAAAAATGAAAAACAGTTAAAACCATTCGAATGGTTAATTGGCCAATTCAGTGGTTTGCTGATCAAAATCAACGATTTTAAAGTAAAAAATGATTTTAGATGAAAATGGAATCAGTTTTTAGTTTTTCCGGTCCGACTGTCTGATCCAGTCCAGTTTTGAAAACAATGAAAAAAACAGAGATGCAATCGTTTAAGATTTTTTATCATTCCGATTTCTAAGAATCACCGAAAGATGGAAGTCATTTTTAACCTACCAGACAACCACTAGCTCGTATTCTAGTTTCTGTATTTTGCACCTCTCTACTCCACTTCATTATGGGTAGTTGATACATAAAATGACAAAATACTTGTAAGGTTATATTTGAAAGTACTTATGTTAAAAATAAATGTGTACTCAAATAATTGCTTATTTACATTTGGTATCTAACTTTTTCAAGTGAAAATAAAAACTTTTTTTTTTTTATATTGAGGGTTTGATAGTTATTTTTTCTAATAAGTACTTAAATATATATTGTCTTTCATTTTCATTAATATCTTACGAAAGCACTTTAGCTCTTTTTCGCATGGGTTTAGACAAGGCATGAGCCAAAGGATGTGTAGCTTATCCTTGCCGTGTGCAAACCGTGTGACCGTATGAGCACCAGGCTTGTACTGACCAAAGCCAAACTGGAATGACAAATATCTGGGAACCAGCCTATAAAGACCTAGTGGACAAATTAAGGCAAAAACCATTTTTGTGGAAAGCAAATCTGGTATCACAAGCAGGAAGATCAACAATGATACAAGTTGTAGCTCAGTCTCTACTCTCTACCTATGTATCAAATGTCTTCAATTCGTTGCCTAAAAGCACCATTGAAGAGATGGAGAAACTTCAAACAAGTTTTTGGTGGAAGGGCAGAGCTAGAACAAAGGCTTTCCACACAATAGGTTAAGATAAATTTTGTCATCCTATTGATAAAAAAAAACAAGTGTCATCCTAAAAAGGAGGGTGTCTGTGCTTCAGAAAACCAAATACATGAAAGATGGATCCATGTTCCCACTTCAAGGTATGACTTCATATGGAAAATTAGGGACAGAAGGCAAGTCTCCATTTGTGATAATTTCCCACATTAATTAAGGGTGGATATCCTCAACAGGCCGAGGGATCTCAGCACTGCCATACTTCATTAAAAGTTAAAAGACCTAATTTTCTCTATAAAATCAGCCTATACATGCTCAACAAGAGATTTGTCATCATCATCGTCGTCAGTATTTGCAAGCTGAAAGTTCCTTTTAGATATCAGATCTTTACATGGAGGCTCCATTGGGATGGCATCCCCACGAATGATAAAATGAACTTTTTTGAAGGAGGACGACAAAATTTGTCTAGTGTGTAATATGGAAATTGAAACAACCTATCGCTTCTTTTATGCTTGTGCATATATGGAATTGTCATTTCTCATAAAGTTGCATGACAATACAACAGCCGGTCCTATATGGGTTATAATAGAGAATATTGTAAATGCATATATCATAAGGCCCCATATGCAAAATAGGATTGTTACAACTCCATAGAGCAGGAGTTAATGTCGATGGCTCTTTTGTACAATCATGAATAAGTAATCCAACCAGAGTAATATATAGCAGCAGCAGGACGTTGGGTAAAAGTAAAACATCCCTGCATCCAAGGCTGACTGGGTCTACAGGAAGCAAAGAAAAACAATGTCAAAGAGATAACAGTCTTCTATGATGCACCATTAATTGTGCAAATTTTGGACAATAATTCTACTGATCAAATATCAACTAGCTACAAAAGCATATAAGAGGGGAATAAATCTACTATATCAATATCAACTTACCCCTCAATGGATTTCATGTATCATCTTTTAAAGCATAGTATGAGGTTTTGTTGGGGTCAGTGACTAACAGCTATAAAGCTCAGGGGGTCTTTGTCATTGACTGCATAGTATTAGGGGGTGGGGGTTGTAATTTATCCATATAAAAATAGATTTCAATGGATGTAAAGGTGTAAATAGATCTAATTCGAATCAAATTAGGCAAACCCAAATTCATATTTGATTCAAAATTCGATATCTGATAGATATTGAAACTCAATATTGTCCAAATTTGAATTCGATTAAATATTTGAATATTCGATTTGATTCGAATTCATCCAATTAATTATTTTATGTAATTAATAAATATATAAAATAAATATTTTATTTATAAGAAATAGGGAAATTGCCCAAAACTCACCATGAGTTTTCAACATTTCTCTTAAACTCACCACAACTTTTCAAAATGTCTAAAACTCAATGTTAGTAAGTTTTTATTTTCCAAAACTCACCTTCCGTTAGTGCACCATTAATGCTTCTTAACAGAGGTGTCCATGTCAACATAAATAACAATTTTCATGACCAAATTACCCTTGAATGGTGAGTTAGAGGAAAAGTGGTCTTTTTCAGTTTTCAATTTTCTTGTTTTTTTTTTTGCATTTTTAATGTTTTGTTATAATTTCCAATGTTTTTTTTTATAATTTCTGTTTTTTTTACATTTTTCTATTTTCTACAATCTATAAATTTTCCTGTATTTCTGTTATTTATTTACAATGTCTATGTTTTTCTATAATTTTTGGTGTTTTTTCTACAATTTTAAATTTCTGATTTTGTTTTTCAATTTCTACAATCTATGTTTTTATGTATTTTATATTTAAAAATATTTTTTGAATTTTTCTTTTTTTCATGTCTAAATATTAAAATGGTAATATATTAACACCCATTAATTTATTTTGTATATATTTTATATTTTTTTTATGAAGTTTAAAATGGTAATATATTAATGCACGTTAGTTTGTTTAACGTCAAGTTAGTGACATGGTGAGTTTTAGACATTTTGAAAAGTTATGGTGAGTTTAAGAGAAATTTTGAAGACTCATGGTGAATTTTAGACAATTTCTCTAAAAATATATAAATATAAAATTATTTATATAATTTAAGTATTATATATAAATTATATAAAATATCTAATTACTTTATATATTATATATAAAAATTAAATAATTAATCAAATTCAGATATTTATCGAATGGAGTCAGGTCATATCCTAATTCGATCAATTGTAATATTCAAATTATCCGAATTTTAATCGATTATATCAAATTTTGAATTCAAAATTCAGAGTTTTAAATATCGCGCGTTGACACTCTAATGGATGTTTAATTTTGATCAGTATTTGGCTGACATACAGGAATCCATCATCTGCTTATATATCCTAACAACTTGATCCCCAAGCAAACATCTATATATACAAATACAATTCAATAGTTAGCTGGATTAAAAAATTGGCAAGTTGGCAAATTTAAGGCACGTCAGAGGCTGTACATAACTACATATACAATACAAATACATCAATGAAACAACGATGGTTCTACCGCCCACAGTTTTTCTCCAAATTGATTAGTATATTTTTTACATGTTTTGACGAGAGAGAGAACCGAAAGTTGGGATCTGCTGCTCCCATGTCGCACCGCTGCGTGTAACGGGCTACGGAGAGCGATGCGACTCGCGAGAAGAGCAGAAGATCCGGGTTCACCCCGTCGGCTCTAGCCTCTAACGGCAGGCTAATAACCAGAGCTCACATCACATCTATATATCTTCTCTCCACGACGCATGCGCTTCATTTTGACTTTGCAGCTTTTAAAATCATTTTAATGGCGCATGACCCACATCAGTACAGTAGTACTACTCTAATTCTAAAGCCTCAATTCATATGACTATGAGCTTGTTTTCATATATAATTCATTAAAAACTAGGCCTTTGAGAAGTTTATATCTTACGGCCATGACTTTACTCAGCAGCTGCACTAAGTTAAACTAGCTATTGTTGTAAAAGAACCAACTGAAAGCCCGATACATTCTGAGTAGGGGAAAACGGAATCTTCCATTATCCGTTCATTAATTCTTTGACTTCTGATACTCGAGTACATCTGTAGTACTGCTTGCTCCCCACGGAAACTCCTACAAAGCACCCTATATATATATATATATATATAATTTCTTTGATAAGCACATATAAATATTTGGGTTGAATAAAAAGAAGAAATAAGTACCAAGAATTTAAACAGGAAGCCGAAGAAATCAGCAAAGGTGTAAACCCCCCAGATTCTGCAATTCCATCAAGGTACACTCTTTTCTGTTTTTTTTTTTTTTGGCAGAGTAGCTTGCATTAGGAAAATAAAAGAAAATGTACATCTTAGAGGATTGGCAACAGTCAACTATTATGTTTATGGTCGTTTTGTTTTTTTCAGTGATTTCTGCTGGTATTAAATGGTGACTTTGTAATGCTAATGTGGAAGGCGAAATTGCAGAGTAATGAATGATAGAGGTCTCTGTTTTTCTTAATTGAAAATGATGTCCAATTGTCCTGTCCTCTACTTTTCATTTCCATCTTTTCATTGTTTTCACTGATCTTGTTGTTTGTGAAGGTTTGTATCACCATATTTTCCTAAAAAGTTGCAGCAGCAGATATTTGTTTCTGCAATTCGTACTCTTAGACTTTCAGGTGCCAAGATGCACCGGTTCTTTTCTCTGGTGTCGTTAGTTACTTGAGTAAAGATTGATTGTTTTTTTTTTTTTTTTTTTTCTTCGTTTTGGTGTGGAATCGTCATTTATAAGAAGAGAACTCAAATTATAGTGTTTTGCAGTTATATGATTTAGCTAGGTTCCGTTATTCCAAGCTGAGAAATAGCAGAACATAGAATAGAAGCGAGTGCTGGCAACATGGATGATGAAGAGAGGAGGGGAGATACAAATACAAACCAAGAGGCCACCGTTGCGATGAATCACCACCCACCTCAGACAGGAAATGGTGGAGATGAAAAACAAGATTTGAAGAAGAAAGGAGAAGAAGATGAGAGGAGTGAGAAGAAGAGCATCCCATACTACAAATTGTTCTCCTTTGCGGATGGCACAGACATGGGAATGATGGTGGTGGGCACAATATCTGGAATTGCAAATGGGGTGTCCATGCCCCTCGTCATCCTACTGTTTGGCCAGTTGATCGATTCTTTTGGACACACCCAGGGCACCAACAATGTGGTTCACGAAATTTCCAAGGTATGTACTATGTACTAGGTATGTATTACTACATTCTAATTAATTAAAGCCTATTTAATTAAAAGAATTAATTCTAATACCATATTTTTCTTGCATCATAGATTTTCCCACCCAAACATATATATGTATATATATATATATATATATATATATTGCCTATATCGCACTGATGTGACAGTGTTTTACCTTGAAACAGGAACATATATTATCAATCAAGCTCTCATAAACAAATTGACTAGTTCTTTAAAAAAATAAAAAATAAAACAGATTCAGTTTTACCGACTGTTGGTGAGCCAATTGGTCCAACCATTTGAACTGGCCGGGTCATACAACAGTACTGATTCAAACATGGAGACATGAGAGCATGTGTCACGTGAAAATCTCATCGTCCTTCATTTATCTTTCCGCTATTGTAAGCGTAAATTGTCTTCGTTGAAATAAATCAAATATGTTTAATTTCTCTGCAGCCAAATATAATTTCTTAATTGCTAGTATATATAGAAGAATATATTCTTCTTATTTCTTCACTTGGGAATGCTTAAGCTCAGATGGGCTCAATCAGTAACAACTTTTCTTTTCTGATTATTATATATTATGTTCAGGTTTGTCTCAAACTGATCTACTTGGCTGCGGGAACCGCTGTAGCAGCATTCTTGCGTAAGTTCATCTCTCCACTCCTCTATCTCTTAGGACAAGGTAAAACGATAAATCATTAAAATAGAAAAAATGAAAATTAATGTTTTTAGTTGATGGTAAGTTGGCAACCTCAACCAACCTGAATGGGCATTACAAATGCAAACAGATGGTGGTGGTATGGTCAATTATAATTTTAACTAGTTCAATTATAATTTTGTAATTTTAATTTTAACCAGTTCATCGAATATAAAAATCAATTTGAAAGGAAAATGGCCAATTATACAAAGAATAATCAAAATGGTCAATCCAGAATGTCATCAGATAGGGGACCCACTGGGGTGTGGTTATATTTTCAATCCTATTGTCCATATCAGTCACATACTCATACATATGTCCCACCTATATATGTTGGTGATTCCACAGTTAATGTTTCAAAGCTTAAACATTTTAACATTACCAACAAAAATGGGCTTACTTTCAAATGTGGTAATATGTTTTGGACTGAACAATTTCCATTGTGATTTAGTGAAACTATGAAATATTCTACATATATTTTTGTAGTTTTTATTAGGGTTATTAACTAAAACATTCGCTACACTTTCATAGATTTACTAAGACCTATCTTATAGTTTGTATTTTACTAAAATATCTACTATAGTTTGCTTAATTAATCTTCTATGTAAAGAATTGTTTGTGTTGCTATTTGAAAATGATCAAGTGATCACCTAAACCAAATAAAAAAAAAAAAATGTTTAAGGGCATGGGCCAATGTTTATTCCCAAATTACCCTTGATATGTCATACCAAACTTTGAGAAAGAATCAATGTTTAGTTTCCAAATTTACCTAACAATTAATGTTTGGTTTCAACACAATGAAGAAGAAGAAAGAGAACAATGCATGGTCTTCAATTTCTTCATCTATAATAGTGTATCCTCCTCCTTGAACAAAGAAAATAACTGATGGAATAAAATGATTATCCACATTTTATTAGGGTCAAGAATGACATTTTCATTTGTATTTTCTTTTGATTAAACTAGAATAAAGCAACGTGCTATAAGTGTAAAAACGAAGAGAGGGACATAAGTTAAGGTTATATAATCAAATTTAACTTTTATACTTAACAACTTTTGTCTTAACAAAAGCTTGATTAAATCAGTTGCATATTATAAATAAATATATAACATACTATATATATTTATATATAATACATAAATAGTTAAGCTGGTTTTTTTCTAGATTAACTGAAAACTGAATCGATCATTCGGTTTTCAAAAATACCGTACTGATCGGTTCGGTTAACCGTTTTTTTAATATTTTTTGGTTTTTCGGTTCGGTTTTTTATGAGCACCCTCGCCCGAGTTGCAGCTCTACCATGGAATGGCTGTGGTACAGTATCTGTATGTCAACAGGTAGAACTATCACTGAGAGAACTTTTATTATTTGCAGAGGTGGCTTGTTGGATGATCACAGGGGAGAGACAGGCTGCACGGATACGGAGTTTATACCTGAAAACGATATTGAGGCAAGATATCGGTTTCTTTGATAGAGAAGCAAACCCAGGAGAAGTTGTTGGAAGGATGTCCGGTGACACTGTTCTGATTCAAGACGCCATCGGTGAGAAGGTAGACCTCTTAGAGTAGCTAGCGAATTTCTTTTCCTAACATTTTCACCATTTATATACTTGATTTAGGTTAAGAAATATTAATTGAACGGCAAATTCATTTCCTCACTCTCTTCCTTGTCAATGCATGTTGCAGGTTGGCAAGTTTATACAGTTGATGTCGATATTCGTGGGTGGCTTCGTGGTAGCATTCGCCAAAGGCTGGCTTCTCACCCTTGTCATGTTATCTTCCATTCCTCTTCTTGTAGTCGCTGGTGCAGTCATGTCCATTGTTATAGGGAAGATGACATCCCGTGGACAAACTGCTTACTCACAGGCAGCAATAGTTGTGGAACAGACACTCAGCTCTATCAGAACGGTATGCGCTCAGCTCGCAAATTTCGACTTTTCTCCTCTCAAAGTGAAACTGATGTTCATTAATATATATATATATATATATATATATATTAATTGTAAAACTTTCTTTCTTTTATGACTATATACGTACAGGTCGCCTCATTTACTGGAGAGAAGGAAGCTATAACTAAATATAACAAGTCACTAAGGACTGCATATAAATCCGGTGTTCTTGAGGGTTTGGCTGTTGGGTTAGGCCTTGGTGCTGTCTTTTTCATCATATACTGCGGTTATGCTTTGGCAGTTTGGTATGGTGGAAAGCTGATACTTGATAAAGGCTATACAGGGGGCCGAGTTGTTAATGTAATTGTTGCTGTCTTGTCTGGTGCCTTGTAAGTTGCAAATTTCTTCTTCTTTTGCATGGATGGTTTTCCCCCCACTTCTGATGTCAAATTATTAATCCAATAATGCAAGAAAACTTGAAGATGTCTGCTCATTGTTTCTACATATATACATATATACATGTTTGTAGTCTCCAAGTCTATGACATTTGCATAGTATGATTTTGATTGTTTATGCTTTAATAAGGTTTTCTTTCATTATTCAATTCCTTTTGCATTCCAGGTCCTTAGGTCAGGCATCTCCATGCATGAGCGCATTTTCTGCAGGGCAAGCAGCAGCATTCAAGATGCTTGAGACAATCAAGAGAAAGCCAGAGATAGACTCCTATGACAACAAGGGGAAGCTTCTGAATGATATTCGTGGAGATATCGAATTGAGGGATGTTTACTTCAGTTATCCGGCTAGACCAACTGAGCAGATATTTAGTGGGTTTTCTCTTTCCGTTCACAGTGGCACAACTGCAGCTTTGGTTGGACAGAGTGGAAGTGGGAAGTCGACAGTGATCAATCTGATAGAGAGATTTTATGATCCTCAAGCTGGTCAAATTCTCATTGATGGAATAAATCTCAAGGAGTTTCAGCTTAAATGGATTAGGGGCAAAATCGGGCTCGTTAGCCAGGAACCCGTACTGTTTGCTTCTAGTATTAAAGACAATATAACCTATGGGAAGGACGGTGCTTCTCTTGAAGAGATCAGATCTGCAGTCGAACTTGCCAATGCTGACAAATTCATAGATAAACTTCCTCAGGTATTAATTTTGGAATACTTTGGTTACTTTGATCTCTATTTAATTGCCATTCTAACATTGTTGTAATCAATTTGAAGAAATAATACTTCTTTTACATTTTATTGTTATTATACTGTGTTCATTTTTTCCATTCAGGGACTGGAAACTTTGGTTGGTGAGAATGGAGTTCAGCTGTCTGGAGGCCAGAAGCAAAGAGTTGCTATAGCGAGAGCAATTCTAAAAGAACCACGAATCCTACTCCTAGATGAAGCAACAAGTGCACTTGATTCAGAATCTGAGCGAATTGTGCAAGAGGCATTGGACAGGTTTATGGTCAACAGAACTACCATCATCGTTGCTCATCGCTTGATTACAGTTAGGAATGCTGATATGATTGCTGTCGTTCATCAAGGAAAGATTGTAGAACAAGGTATTTTTAATATGTAGATTCATTAATTCCTACCATACCAGGTGAGCTTTCCCAGTAGAGTCAATTTCATGGATTCTATTTTGTTCTGTAGTCATATAAGAATTTCTTAGGCATGAGGGTTACCTACTAATCTACTATATTGATTTTATCAATGTATGGGAAAATAGTTTTACATTAATTAATAGTTGTCAATTGATCAGGCTCTCATTCTGAGTTACTCAAGGATCCCAATGGAGTATACTGCCATCTAACACAGTTGCAAGAAGTGAACCAAGATTCAGAACATCAAGCACTAAATGTAGAACCAGACATTATAGTGGATTCTCAGAGGCATTCAAGCAGTCGTATTTCCCTATTACGCTCCATAAGTAGGGGATCATCGGGGGTTGGAAACAGCAGCCGCCATTCGTTCTCAGCCTCATTTGGTCTACCCAATGGATTTAATATCCAAGACACTGCAGTAATAGAATCCCGTACCCCACTTCCACCACCTTCTCAACAGCCAGTGACAGTCCCACTCTGGCGCCTTGCCTATCTGAATAAGCCAGAGATCCCAGTCCTAGTACTTGGAGTGATATCAGCAGGAGTCAGTGGTGCAATACTTCCAGTTTATGGGATATTCATCTCTAGTGTAATAAAGACATTCTTTATGCAGTCAAGTGAACTTAAGAAGGACTCACACTTTTGGGCTATCATGTTTGTTGTCCTTGGCCTGGTATCATTACTGGCATTTCCATCAAGGACATACTTCTTTTCAGTTGCTGGTTGTAAGTTAATAGAAAGGGTCCGATCAATGTGCTTCAAAAAGGTGGTTTACATGGAGGTTGGTTGGTTTGATGACCCCGATCACATGAGTGGTGCCATTGGTGCAAGGCTTTCTGCAGATGCAGCAACCGTGCGGGGTCTGGTAGGGGATTCCCTTGCCCTGCTCGTGCAGAATGCTGCAACAGCAATTGTGGGTTTGGTCATTGCTTTCCAAGCAAACTGGCAATTGTCTCTTATAATCCTTGCTTTGCTGCCTCTAATAGGTCTTAGTGGATTGGCCCAATTTGAGTTCGTCAAAGGATTTAGTGCAGATGCGAAGGTTTGATCTAGACTCGTGTTGATTCATTATATTTTTAATGCATTTAGAAGGAAAAAATGCATTTCAAAGTGCACAAAGTTAACAAAATATGTAAAAATAAGTCCATATGAGGCCTTTTAGTGACTATTTTTCAAACTAAACCTGTATCCTCCTTGGTTTGTGTTGAACATGATGTCAAAATTAATGTTGCAGATGATGTATGAAGAAGCAAGCCAAGTTGCTAAAGATGCTGTTGGGAGCATTAGAACAGTTGCTTCTTTTTGTGCAGAAGAGAAGGTGATGCAACTGTACAAAAAGAAATGTGAAGGCCCATTGAAAACAGGGATGAGGCAAGGGTTGGTAGGTGGGGTTGGTTTTGGGCTGTCCTTTTTCTTCCTGTACTGTGTTTATGCAACCAGTTTCTATGCTGGAGCACGGCTTGTTCAGGATGGAAAAACAACACCTTGGAATGTTTTCCGTGTAAGTATCCCATCCATCCACATTTATGATGTAAATTATTCTAGTCCTTTGAGATGAGTTCCTGGTTTTGATTTTCTTTATTGCAAATCTCCTGCTCTGCAGGTTTTCTTTGCACTCTTCATGATAGCTGTTGGAATCTCTCAATCTAGTTCTTTTGCACCTGATTTCACCAAAGCCAAGTCTTCTACTGCTTCCATTTTTGGAATTCTTGACCAGAAGTCCAAGATAGACCCAAGTGATGACTCTGGATTAATTTTAGAAAATGTGAAGGGAGAAATTGAATTTTCACATGTCAATTTTAATTACCCAACAAGGCCTGACATTCAAATTTTTCAAGACCTCTGCTTGGCCATCCATTCCAACAAGGTAATTGTTATCAACATTTTAGAATCTATTAATTCAAATGATCATACTGTACTAATAATCTGAATCTCTTGTCCATCAGACAGTTGCTCTGGTTGGAGAAAGTGGATGTGGGAAATCAACAGCGATATCATTGTTGCAGAGATTTTATGATCCTAGTTCAGGCCACATTACTCTAGATGGAATAGATATTCAGAAGTTTAAGCTGAAGTGGTTGAGGCAGCAGATGGGCTTGGTGAGTCAAGAACCTGTCTTATTCAATGACACCATCCGAGCCAACATTACATATGGAAAGGAAGGAAATGCTACAGAAGCTGAGATTATATCTGCAGCTGAACTGGCAAATGCCCACAAGTTCATTAGTGGATTGCAACATGTTGGTACACTGTAACACTTAACTGTGCTCAATTCATCATTTCTCTGAAACAAAAGAAATAATTAGTTTGTTTATCTGTCAAAACTAATACAGGGGTATGATACAATAGTAGGAGAGAGAGGAGTCCAATTGTCAGGTGGGCAAAAGCAACGTGTGGCAATTGCACGTGCCATAGTGAAGGGGCCAAAGATCCTACTACTTGATGAAGCAACAAGTGCAATTGATGCTGAATCTGAGAGAGTGGTCCAAGTTGCATTGGACCAAGTCATGGTGGATCGAACCACAGTTGTAGTGGCTCACAGATTATCCACAATTAAGAATGCAGATTTGATTGCAGTGATCAAGAATGGAGTCATTGCTGAAAAAGGGAAGCATGAAACATTAGTCAATATCAAAGATGGTGTTTATGCGTCTTTGGCTGCAATTTACATGGCTGCTGCTAATGAGTCATCTACATGAGTTTCTAGTTATGATTCTTCATTAGTGTTAAGAATGCAGATTTTATTTGCTTTTTCTTTTTTATTATTTTAGGATGTAAAATTAGAGGGTGAATCTTTGTGGTCTACAATCTCTATTATATCTATACCTGGCCAATCGATATAACTATACGAGGGAGAAAACTTTCCAGGGACATTTTTGTGGTACGAATTAAAACAAGTTCTACATTAACACCAAACAAGTTACTTGCGTGTTGTGACATTGCAATTTGCAAGTTGCATTTCACCCTACTACAAGTTGCGCTTGATGCTATACATGTTATGGGGCTCATGTATCAACATGTGGACATAAAAGTGTATCCTTTTTGTTGAAGATTAATTAGTCTTATGATGTTTTTCTGAGTAGATGTTTTATGTTAGTTGTTAGATAGGAGGTGGGGACCACAATAGTTATGTGAGTCCAAATTTTATTATGTTTTTGAGTGTTATATATGCTGTTTTATGTTTTGCCGCTCTATAAGGGCATAGTTATCTTTGTACTGTTCTATTATTTTAATATAAATAATAAGTGAAGGGGGCGACCAGATTATTGCTCTCTTTTCTTTTCAACTTCTCTTCTTCTCTTCTTCTCTTCTTCTCCTTCTCTCTTCCTTCTCTCTTTAATAAACTACTTTTCTTTTATATTTTTTAATTTAGCAGATTTCTACTCTTTTATGAGCTCCATTTGTTTGCAATGCAAATCTAGACCGGATGCAAAACTTGCACCTGGTTCAGATTTACATTTTTTTTAACTACTAGTGGTGGGGCACGTGCATTGCACATACAAGTTTGTCATTGTAAATGAAGTCCCATTAAAATACATCTATCTCTGTTTCACTTGCCCTAATAGTAATGTGGCTGATCCAAGCCTTGCATTGGATAAAAGTTTTAGGAATAATAAATATTAATTGGAAGATGGGAATGTGACACATCTCACTTGGTAACATGAAGGTCCCAAAGGGATAACTTTCATTGATGAAGGCCAACAGTATAGGTGGTTGAGAGCGATTTTGGGCTGGTCACATTCAATGGTCCACATGTGTGAAGGAGAACACAAATAAGCAGACTTACCAGCCAATCGAATAGCAGAAAAAACAGAGGAAATAGCCAAGGATATGAGCTCATGAATCTTATCTTCAGTCAAATTTCCCTGTGCATCTAGTTTGTGAGCTGATGAGGATGATGTAGTATCAGTTGGAGTTGGTTCAGCTGAGGCTTGATAAGCCTTATGTTGTCCTTTCTTGGGGGGTTTGACTAGGCATTCTACAATAATGTGTCCCTGTTGTTTGTAGTAGGTGCAGAAATTTTTCTTCTTACAGTGGGATGCTACATGTCCATATTCTTTGCATTCATAACATTGCATCTTCGAGATATCCTTCTTCCCCTTCTGTTTGGTGGCCAAGAAGACAGTATCCATTTCATGTTCATTCTTCTGATCAAGTGTAGACTAAGTGAGGAAATGAGATTCATCCCTTAATAACTCACCAAGTATATATCAAGATCTGGTACAGGCTCTCTACTGAGTATACTAGAGTGTAGGGTTTCATAATCAGATCTTAGATGCATCAAAAAATGCAGTCTTTCTCTTACTGAGATGTTTCTTCATAGTTTTCACACAACAGTCTATAGAGAGATCCCCAAAACGAGCCAATTCATATTCAGTCCAAAAGTTCACAAACCCAGCATAGTATTCCTGAATCCGCTTCTCCCCTTAAACACGAGAAAATATCAACTTCAATTTGATATTGCCTAGACATATTCGATTGTTGATAAACCTTTTCAAGGTATTCAAACATGTCATGGGCAGATTTGAGTCCCCTCATCGAAATACTGACATCTATAGTAACATCCATAATTTTGGAAGAAAAGAATTGAATAAGTGCTTATTATATAAGCACTTAAAAAAGCTGGAAATTTGGGTTTGAAAAACAAGCGCTTATTTTTAAATAAAAATTTATTTCGGGCTTATTTTCCAAACACCAATAAGTGCTTAATGGTGTAGTCTTGACTCAAATAAGCACTTATTTTTAAGCACTCCCAAATTAAACATGGCCTAAAATAATCATGATTCATGAATCTTGGTCTCAGATGCTTGAAGACTTTGTCTCTCCCTGAACGTCCATTGCCAAAGAAGGTCTTCTTGAAGCTTTAGAAAAGTATCTCTCGATTAAGCACCGTTACTCAGGTTGTTGAATTCCAGCAAGTTTCAGATATGAACCTAAGCTACCATCTGTGGAATGCGTATGTCAACCTCTTAAATGCCATTGCAACATGATTTTTGACAATCCAAGTGAAGGTTAGTGATGGAGGCCCATCCCAAGGCCCATCTCACTCCTAGGGGCGGCAGCTCCTAGGATAAGGTCAAGATTATCCCAAGACTCATCAAGAATTCAAGAATTCAAGACTCATCAAGAATTCAAAGAATCCAAGACTCATCAAGAATTCAAGAATTCAAGACTCATCAAGAATTCAAAGAATCCAAGACTCATCAAGAATTCAAAGAATCCAAAACTCATCAAGAATTCAAAAATTCTAGATAATCCAAGATTCATGCATGGA